CCCATTCGCTTTTCCATATATAAAATACATACAAAAGATTCAAAAGTTGACTAGTTGGATAATATTCAATACAAGTACTATTGGAACGTGGTACAAATATTTGAGATGATATGTAACTTATGTAGTATTTTGTTTTCTAAAGTCACTGGCTGAGATTTGTTGCATACCTTAATTTTAGTATGAGTTAGATAACTTTCCTTTTAAATATGAACACTAGAAAAATATAAAAGAAAAATCTACAAATTAATCTCAATAGACTTGAATGTAAATGTGTTGTATTTATTATTTTTTCACTCATTTGGAAAGAAAAGTGTAGATTCCCCCCACCACCTTTCTGAGAAAAGTGAAGGCTTGGTTCTAAGTTAATATAAATCAATGAAGTAGCAGATATGATCATATAAGTGTACCGTATTAATAACATCCATCTTATGAGGGAGGGGATCCACTCATGCGTTCAATATATTCTCTTTCACCTCATAAAAAATAAAATTCTCTTTGAGTAAAGCCATTGACTAATTTATTGGACGCAATTGATGACGGATTTAGACACACATGTTTTATTTTATCCATCAACTTTTGCTGGAAGTGTGTAAAGAACCACCACAACACATTTTTAAATTTATAAAAATATTTGTTTATATCTCTTTAAAGATATATATTCTTCTTGTATTTACAAGGGAAGAACATGGATCGATTGATCCTTTTCCTATAAGTTACATGTATGATTAAGATACCATTTATTTTAGTTATATATATATATATATATATATATAATATTTTTTTAATCTTTTTAAAACCTTTTAATGTATTTGTTTAAGTCTTAAAAATTGAGAATCTAAAATGATGTTTCTTTTTATTGTTGTAAAAGTTATTTTGGATAGCTTTTATGAAAAAATAGTCATAGTAATTAAGTACTCTTTTAAAAAAATCATAATTATAAATAAAAATATTTTACAAAATATTCCTTATATATATATATTTATTTAAAAATCAATTTTTAAAAATTTAAATATACGGTCCTTATTCTTCATTGAGGAATACATTTGAAAATTAATATCATGCATAATTATTTTAACAAAGACAAAAATGTATTTCTCAACAAAAGAATACAAAATTCTATTTAAATAAAATGAAATTATATGCGTTTTGTATATAGTTTATTGGTGGTGATAATATAAACGGTGTTACATAAAATTTAAAAATAATTGTGGCGAATAGAATCGATTATGCCAAATTTCCAAACAGGCCATAACATAAGTGAGATTTATCAAATTTACCCAAAAGCTTAGTTTGAAATTGAGAGACATGAATCTTTTTTATTTTATTTTAAAGCGAAATATAGTTAGGAGCGGCTTGGCCAATTCCAATGCTTAATGGCTAGGTTAAACCGGAATGACTAGCCTATACCTAGGGAGACAGCGAGAAAGGCCTTATAGATATTATTATATTTGCTCCCACTTTACAGGTAGCTGATAACAAATATTATTAAATTTAAACAAGATTTAAAATAATTAATTAAAAATAAATATTATAATTATTAATTAAATATTTTATTATATTAAAAAATTAAATAAAGAGATATTTTCATATTAAAAAAATTACAAAAAGCATTATTTTAATTGATATAAAATTAAAAGTAATTGCTTAATATAAAAAATAATTTGACATAATAAAAAAGATAATTAATTCTTAAAAAATGCTTCATACGAAGAATATCATAAAAATATATTTTAAAATAATTAATACTCACAAATTATATATATGAAAGTTGCTAAATAGAGATTTTTAGAATGTTTTTCTTATATTATATAGTGTTTTTAAATTAAAATTAAATAATATTATAATATTCTTAAAATTGAGTTTCTTAAAAGTATTTTGACAAGTATATCAAAATTTAAATTGAATTTTAAATTAGAATAAAAATATTTTAAATAGATAAATAATAAAAAAACCACATAATATAATGAAAGATAATAATTATTTCAAAAAAAATTTGTTTTCCTATGCAACGGAGGATTAATGGCCAAAAACTAACAAATCATCCTAGTCCTTGGAGATGTTTCATTTAAAAAATAAATACTCCAATTTTTAACCAAAAAAAAAAGTATACTCAAATTCAATATATACGTGTAAATAATAAATAATGATTTAATTGATTCAACTGATTAAATTTGCAATTAAATTAAAAATGCTCGAACTAATGAAAATTATAACTGATTCTACGATTCGATTGGATCAACGGCTATTTCCGAACTGATTTTTAAAAACTCTACTAATGAAATGGGCTCTTAATTAATTACATTAGACAAATACAGTTCGGCCTTGGAAGATTTAGGCTGGCCCATATGTGATGGACCCGTGATGTGTATGTGGGAAAAGAAATATAATAATTTACTTTTAAGAATATGTATTTTTCATAGAGAAAAAAAAATAAAATAACAACATCGTAAGTTACATTAATTTTACAGTCTCTCCCGTCTTTTTTTATAAGAAATAAATAAAAAGTTAAATCATCCAACCAAAAAATTTAACAATTAATGCATCTTGAATCTATTATTTATTTTTTATAATAAAAATTAAAAAAAAACTCTATTTTACGACCGGAAGAAGTACCGTTTAATAAAATTTTGTATTGAAGTTGATTTTTATCAACCATATAGATAAGCCTGGATGTTTTGGCAAGAAACAAGTTTGTCCTCTCAAATGTGGATGACAATTCTGTGAGCTTGTGACAGAGTTGCCAATAGAAAGAGAAAATCATGTCATTTAGTTCATTTACACACCACCCTTTTGGTTCATCTCTGCCAACCATCTCTGGGTAACGTCAAATAGGACCAATTCAAACACCTTTTGTATTACTCCTAAATTTATAGTCACACCATCTAACACAAATGCAAGTTTAACAAGAGTTTCACAATATCCTCTTACATATCCCCTCATGCTTTATAAAGTAAGCAATAAGTGAAAAAGTACATTAATTTATAATCTTGAAAACATAAAATCCATTTAATATATAGTTCTGTTTAACAATTAAGCAAATGTAGACATAACAGGTAGGAAGATCTAAAATTATTCGTTTAACAATCAATTTAAGTCAGAAGTAGTATAGCATATTTAGTTCAATGGAAGCTTGAAAATCATTGTACTGTCAAGTGTCTTTGAAGTTCTGATATGAGTAGAGTGCTAAATTCTGCCCTGCTATATTCTTGCTTTGTATCAAAATATTTGTATCTATTGGCACAAACATAAACAATTATCCAAATAGTCATTGCTATCAATAGAAATGGGAAATACAAACTTTGGAAAGTAATTAGAGGCTTTCTAAGCACATCGAAAGTGGTGTGGCAACTGGTAAGTAATCGAATATTGTTTGATTGAACAATTCAATCTGTCCTTCCCTGTTGGTAGTCTCCTTCTGCACAACACAATAATTGCACTAGTCATGTGCTGTGCTGGTAATAACTATATAGGCGTTTTGAAAACTACTAGAACTTATGGTAATCATGCCAGTTCCACATGAGAGGTTTTCCCACCACGGTTGTATTCCATTCTTATAACTTTGTTGAATAACGCCTAATTGAATTTCTCGACATTTTTTCTCCCTTTAAGATTAATGATGTCCTTGCTTAGCTAGGATGAATGTATCACTAGTATGATATGAAACATATACTGCAAATGTAAATCATTAAATCAAAATATTTTCTTTTATTTTTTAGGATAAAACACGTTCGCTGATACTGTTGTAGGAAAATTGCCAGCAAATGCAGATGCATAATCAAATTCCCCTGTAACATATTCATCTATCTTCACAGCACAATAAGGAATACAGAGTGTTAAGTTGAGACTTGCAAGGAATTCATCAGAGTCAATACCATGAGTAGCATAAAGATGTACAGAACCGGTCTTCAAATACATATAAAAAAACTTGTTCTTGTTTTTCCATGCTTTCTGGGTTCCCCTAGTGCTGAGATGGAGCTAGGGGGTTTCATCATGATGAATCATGCTTTGAACTACCAAAAATGGGAATTAGTTTCCTCTAACGAGTTTGAGAATCTTTAAATTAGTAACAGGACAATCCATCTTTAGTAATTTAGAATTTGTGTATAACTTAGACATTGTAAATGGAGCAGCGCATTTGCTGAAAATCGACCGTTAAGACAGTCATACATGGAAACAAACTACCAACTAAAACGCTAGATAAACAGACTTGAAAACTTATACAAATTGAATAATCATTAGGAAATATATGTATGATTCAGTGCAGTCAAATTATACTCCTTTTTAGGCTAAATCATTGGTATTTTTCACAACACATATATAACATGGCAGAATTAGCTATCTCACCGGAGATTTTTTTAATATACAAAATTCAACAAAAATATTTTTAGAAGATAACTAAAAATGGTCTCTTTTTATTTTAGTATATTTAGTTATATATAATATTATTTTTTAAAATAACAAAAAATTGAGTAATTAGAATAATGCAAACAACATCTTTTCTAATCTAAACAATATATTTAATTGAATAACTAAGAATATATAAAGTTCATATTTAAAAAAATATATATTTATGAACTTAAAGGGAATATTTTAGTTTGACTAAGATATTAAATGAATTTTTAGATTATTTTTTTGTAAAGTGAAAAAAATCGTGTAGCATAATAAAAATACATTTATTATTAATTTAAAATGAGACAAGTCACTTAATATCTAAAGCCACTACAAATTACAATTGATACATTAAAAAAATTCACTTATATTTTTAAAAACCTTTTAAGAATTTGTTTTAAAAGATTTTATTTGAAAAATTTGATATTTATTGACCATGCACTAATTACCCTATCTAAATTGAATAACTTAACTTTGGTCATCTCTATGGTTTATGCAGGAGGAACACATTTTGGGAATGGATCATGGGTGACACGTGATGGTCTAATTTATTCTTATTTATTGTTTATTTTAATTTCCTGATATTCGTCAATAAATAGCACGGAACCGGATGAGGTTGGCAATAGCTAAAGGCCAAAACCCTAATCTCCCAAAACCCTAATATCAATCTGCACTCTGATCCACAATGGCAAGAGCCATTTCCACTTCGTGCGCACGCTTCACGATGCGCCTTCTCTCCACTCCCACCACGTTACCCAAACTCCCTTCGCTCTCATCGCGTCGATTTCTCTTTCCATTGTCCCATGCCGTCATCCCTCCGCTCCCTTCATCCGTTCGATTCGCCGGAATCCGGTGCCGAGTTAATCGCGCCGGCGACTCGGCCTACTCGCCGCTGAACTCGGGGTCGTCGTTCAGCGACCGGCCTCCGACGGAGATGGCCCCTCTCTTCCCCGGCTGCGACTACAATCACTGGCTCATCGTCATGGACAAGCCCGGGGGCGAAGGCGCCTCCAAGCAGCAAATGATCGATTGTTACATTCAAACCCTCGCCAAAGTTGTTGGAAGGTTAGCCTTTATTCCCTTCTGGGTTCGCATCAATATTCCTTTTTTTTTAAATTTAACACAAACTTCGGGCTTTTGTTTTTTTGTATTTTTTCAGTGAAGAGGAAGCTAAGAAGAAGATTTACAATGTTTCCTGCGAGAGGTACTTTGGATTTGGGTGTGAGATTGATGAGGAGACGTCTAATAAGCTCGAAGGTTTCTGTTCTGAACTGTAATATGGAACCCTTTGATTGAATGTTTTGTTGCCTTTGTATTCTTACATTTTGTCTTCATTGTTCTTTATGTAGGGTTACCTGATGTTCTTTTTGTTCTCCCTGATTCGTATGTTGATCCTGAGAACAAGGACTATGGCGGTGAGGATTTAACGTTTTTGTTTGTTTTATTCTTCAGTTTTTGTTTCACAATTTTTATTGTTGTTTTAATTGCTAGTGGAGGCTATATTTTGGAACTAATTTGGGTTTATGGCTTGAGGCTACCTTCTCTGTTCAGTCTGTTGTAGTGATTGGTGATTTTTACCTGTATGTTTCCAATATAAGATTTGCGCTAATTGATCTGGTCACATGTTTCTACTTACTGTTTTGTATGCTGCATAGAAATGCTTTTTGGTGAAAAATATGGTATTTTTTAATCTTGTCAATGATGTGTAATGTGTACTTCTAAATCTGATTATCTGATTATTTGATGCTTCGTATCTATTGTATTTTGATCATTTTCATCTTATGTGCTAAATGCAGACTATGTGATTGTCTGTTTGACAGACACATTATCAGTCCAAGCTGAAAAAAGCTAAATTAACTTGCTTACTAGGTCTAGCTTACAATATATGGACTTACATTAAATGTCTCTCTTGACTGTTCTGTGCTTTTTATACTTAGTGAAGATGCAGATCAGTAGAGATGAAACATGCCTGTTATCAGTTTTTTATGGAGTTTTCATTATTCCTCTTTTTAACTTGCGGAGATGAATTGTTTCCGATATGAATAAAAATCAGTAGTCTGCATCTACTACCTTCTTTTTAGGTTGCCCACGTCTATGTGTGTGCTTGGTGGAATTTTATTCCATTCCCCATGAAATGTTTGCATCCTGTTTAAAACTTTATTGAAATAATTTAGAGCTTTCTGAGCTGCAGACTTAGGAGATTAATGTTTATTATAGTTTGTGAGGGTTTCCTTCTTGTCCTGTTCTCCCTTTATCAGCAGTCCATCTTGGCAAAGCTAAAAACTCTTGATGGGCAATGACTAGCTTTGAATGCTAATGGACTCACATAAAAACTCTTTCCAATCCTGTTCTGTTGCTTCACAAATTTATGGAGTTTTAGAATCATTGGAGTTGATACATAAAATCACCTGATATGCCTTCTCTCTTGAGGCTAATTATGCTAGTTTTCTTTGTCTTTTTACTAAATTAAGTTTAGCTTTTATTTCTTGATTGTCTTGATCTGTAGAATGAGAAGATCATCATTTGTATTTGGAATTTCTTGTCCAAATAAAATGATTATCATATTATTCCGGTTCTAGTGACAAACTCATGCAAGTTAACACTAATGATGTAGAATGTGTTTAATAGAAGTCCATCTTGGCAAAGCTACTAACTCCTTGAGTAATGTCTAGCTTTGAATGCTAATGGACTGACATAGAATTTCCCTCCTCCTGTTCTGTTATTTCACTAATCATGGAGTTGCAGAATCATTGGAGCTGATACATAAATTACTCAACATTATCTCTTCTCCAGGCCCATAATGCCTTCCCCCCCCCTACAAATTAGGGTTTGAGTTGTGGTAATCAAATTTAGTTGTATCTTGTTACTGCAAATGCTATGTAGCAGCAGTTTTTAGGCCTTTGTGTTTTATATTCATGCAATTATTGAGCATTTCTTAGTTCTCTTATCTTTGTATTACACTTTTACTTTTATTTGCTAATTGTTGGTGCGGCCTACTTGCATTGGTATGTACACAGCAAAGACTCCTGCCTTTTATCTTGGCTGTTGGATGATCTAGTGAGAGAAATCAATTTTCAGGTTCTTATAGGGTCCAGTCATCTGAGCACATATCCATTGCATATCAGCAGTTCCTTTTGGCAATCTAGCTTTGAATACTGATGCAATTTAGCAAATTTTTTTTTTGTTAATCATAGTTCATACTTTTAATAGACTTCCAATGCTATTTAGAAACATTTCTTGGATGCTGTGTTTTTATCCTTTTTTATTCGGTATGTTAGTGTGAAAGGTAAATGGTTGTCATATGATTCTTGTTCTTGCTCACTTGTTAACTCATGATGATGACATTTGAAGTTGATTAAGTAGGTCAATGGGCAGAGGTTAGGGCTGATGCTATTCATACAATAAAATGGTTCCCTGTCCCCAGCTTTCTCTTGGTCTCCAAACTTGTCTATTTTTTAAATTTCTTTTTAAAGCTAGTTCTCTTATTCTTGGCTACCATTGATCCCCATTTTATCCAAATATGGACTTGGTTTGATTATTGTTTCCAAATTACATTGGTGCAGCTGAATTGTTTGTGAATGGAGAAATTGTCCAGAGGCCACCTGAAAGGCAGAAAAGGGTGGAGCCCCAGCCACAAAGACATCAGGACAGACCAAGATACAATGATAGAACCCGGTATGTCAGGCGCAGAGAGAATGCACAATAAAGGCCCAGTTTGTCATAGGAGGAGAGGATCTAATGTGCATACTATGGAGTAGTGCATTACATGCACTATAATCTAGAACCTTTGAGACATTCGTTATAAGTGCTGGTAGGGGTGTGATAATTTATTATGTTTTTAGTTGAACCTGTATCAGCTGGAATCCTTTTATCATTTTATAATATGGACTTAATCTTGAACATACTATGGTTCTTGTACTTGCCTCCAGAGTTTGCGCCATCTCTCCAACCCGACGTATAAATAATTAGTTGCCATATGTGATTTGTTTTGATGTTTCATATCTGATTTCTTAACTCGACAAGGAGATACAAATTCCAAAGTTATGTCCCATGTTTGCGAACAAAATATATTATTTATATACTGTATAGATGTGCTAAGAAATACCTTTTAAGTTAATTGTGAACACCTAGGAAGCCAAAAAAAACAGGTTGCTTATGGCATTCGTCTGGGTGTATTGAGAAAACGGTGAATCGTTAATATGTTGTAGTTGGATTCAGATTCTGTGCGGTAAATTAATGTACTCTTGACCTTCTTGACCATTAAAAGGTTTATCTTGCCTTAAGAAGGTTTATCGTATCTTCTAGACCTTCTGTGACTAGATTATTTTGTAACAAATTTTGCTAGCAATAGGGTGCCCATACAAAGTGTATATATAGACGTTTTCTCTTTCCACTATTAGACAAAATATATACAAAATTTCCTTTCACTTAATATTTTGTATTATTTCTCTCTCGTTTCCTATTTTCTGTTATGGTATCAGAGCTTGTTGCTGCTTTCAGAATGACGCTTGAAGTATTGATCCATCATAGGGTCCTCTTCTCCAAAGTCTGTCACTTGCCCTTGTCTCTACTGTCTTAATGGATTAAATTATCATTAATGGTCTTGATCAATTCGTATGTGTCTCATTTTTAAGAACAAGTTCGAATTCATTAACGAAACAATTGAAGCTCCAAGTCTTACAAAATTGCAATATATCCTACATGGGAGAAAGTCTCATAAGGAAATTATGTATCACATTGCATATCTTCAAGAATTGATCTCTTCTTTTAGCTAAAGAGAGTTAAGTGTTATTGACTATTTTACTGAACTAAAAGATCCTTTATAATGAGTTTGATGTTTTTCGTCCACAATGAACTTGTGCCATAGAATGCTCATGAAATGCACTTGTCAATCATTTAGTATAAAACCCAAGATTAAATCATTAAGTTCCTTCAAAGATTAAATGATACTTACTCCAGTGTGAAGATTCAAAATATATTAATGAATCCTCTTTCATCCCTTAATTATTTTTACTTTAGTGGTTCAACATAAGAGGTAGATACTTTGTGACTCAAAATCAATTTAATGTGATGATAGTTACTTGGAGAGAAAATTTTAATAATAATAATAGTTATAGTTCTACTTTCTTTGGTAATGAAAGAAAGTATGTTTCTCAATTTAAGGGTAATTAGAGACATAAGAGTAACTCGAAAGTATGCAATCACGATGGTAGATCAAGCCATATTGTGGAATCACGTTATAGGAAGCATGATTTTGCACCACACTTCAAATTTAAGAAATAGAACCATGATCAAATTCATGCTAATGCAACATTTCAAGTTATTGATCCTGAAACTACTCGATAAGAAAATAAAAGTTTTAAGGGAGATATGTAACCTTTGCAGTTTGGTTTTACTCCTGAGCAATACTAAGGTCATTTAACACTTCTTCAATAGTCTCAATCTAGCAACAATAATGTTTCAAATCAAGTCTCTGTCATTCCATCTTCTGCTACCACTTCAAGTTATGTTGGTAATTTTTTTCTCTTTTAGTTCATGGATATTTGATAGTGGTGCCAAATACCACATATCTTCTTGTTTTTTCCATTTTGCCTCATTTTGTCATATTAATCCTATAGATATTAAATTACCAAATGGAAATAAGGTAGTCACTAATTTTTTTGGAAGTGTGTTCCTTAGAATCATGTTCTACATAATGTTCTTTATATTCCCTGTTTTTCTTTCAATTTGTGTTTTGTAGCCAATTTAACTACAAATTTATCTTACATTCTTATCTTTGATATTCTATTCATTGTCATATCTAAAAACAAGAGTTCATTAAGAATTTGTTCAACTAATCTGCATTATCAACTTTACATATTTAGGGTGTTTGCCTATCAAACACTTTAATGCATCAAGAATCCAAAATTTTCACCATCTCTTATTAATGTTGTTAATTTTATCTTTGCTCATGATAAAACACTTTGGCATTTTTGTCTAGGACATGTTTCAAATAAATGTGTTGATATTATAAAAAGAAGATTTGCTTGTCAAACAAATATGACAAGTCTGTTTGTGATATTTGTTATTATGTCAAGTAAAAAAAACTTTCACTTCCTATTAGTACATCTAAGACAACACAATGTTTTGACCTTATACACATTGACTTGTAGAGACCTTACTCCTAACCATCCATTCATGGGCACAAATATATTTTTCCAATTGTTGATAATCATTCACATTTTACTTAGTTTTTTCTTTTAAACAAAATTTGAAACACCAAAAATATTGCAAAACTTGTGGCCTTAGTGCAAAACACAACTTGAATCAAGCATAAAGGTTAATAGGAGTGATAATGAAAAAAGTTTTTTATATCAAATTTATATGCTTCTAAGGAAATAATTCATCAAACTACTTGTGTTAACACACCCAACAGAATAGTATTATTGAAACTAAACATGAAGATTTGCTTATTGTAATGCAAGCTCTAATGTTGCAATCAAATTTACTAAGAACATATTGGTCATATGTGGTGTTACATGTTGCATACATCATTAATATGCTACTTACACTTGTTTTGAAGTATTATTCTCCATATAAAGTTCTTTATAAAATTCATCCCGATTTCTCTTAATTAAAAGATTTTCCTTATTTATATTTTGCCAGCATTGCATCTTTACATCAAATAGAGTTTGATCCCTATACTTGTATATGTGTTTTCTTGGTTTTAAAGTGGGACAAAAAGATATGTTCTATTAAATTTTCACACTAGAAAATTACATCTAGAGACTTTGTCCTTTTTGAATATATATTCCCATGCTCTCATATCAATAACAATAAAATTAACACTCTCATCTCACCTATATTTAACACTCCACCATTTACTTATGAAGTGATCACCAACCTCTCACAAACTATAACTTGAAATTTTCACCATTTCTTGTAGATCACACACCTAATGTGCTTATTTCAGATGCATCATAAGAACCTAATCTCATTATCAATAATACTCATAGGGATCAACCAACAAAAAAAAAACAAAAACAAAACAAAACAAGCCTCCCTTAGTTATTTAAAGGTTTATCATTGCAACTTTAATATTGTTGATCATTTTTCACATATTTTATATCCATTGTCTTTTGTTTTGTGTTCGAACACTATCTTCTTCTTACTTTTCTTTTATTATGTCTTTGTCTTCTTGTGTTAAGCTAAGATCACATGCAAAAGTAATATATAACATGAATGTTGGATAATGACCATTCAATCTGAATTATCTGATCTAGAAATAGACTAAACTTTTGTTTTACAAATTTTGTAAAAGACAAGTTTCCTATTAGGTGCAAGTGGGTATTAAAAATAAAATATACAACTAACAAGAACATTAATAGATATAAAGTTAGATTAATAGTCAAAGAGTATAATAAGATTAACAACTATTAACATTGATACAACATGACATCAATTATCTTGATATATTTTCTTAAATAGCTAAGATGACAACTATAAGATTACTCTTGCATGGAGATTTAAAGGAAGATGTTTACATGGTAGCACTCATAGACCATATCCACTGCTATTACAACAAAGTGACATGGTGCCACTATGAAGACCTCATTGTGTCGCTTTTCAAAATAGTAGCCATCACGTTACGAATCACAGTCAAAAGCAGGAAAAATCGTAGTCATCACACCCATTATTCCATCTGCGCTCAAATCTTAACTTTACCCTTTGTTTCTGAAAGTTGAGTGACTTTTAAGGGGGTCAATCTTAGGATTTTTTCTCTCCTTACTTTTCAATATCATCTTCTCCCTTCCTCGTGAGCCCTAAGCCTTTTTATTCTAATCTCTTAGTTCTTTATTCTATTTTACATCTCTAGTGTTCTTCATCTTCGTTGAGACTTTTGACGTGACATAGACCATCTCTGGTCATCTTTTTTATGTTTGATGAAACCTCTAACGTGACTTAAATGGTTTCTAATTGTCTTTTTCATCTCTAATTGTCTTCTTCGACTTTAGTGAAGCTTCCGACGTGATCGAAATATTTTTAGTCATCCTTTTTATCTTTGACAAAATTTTTGACAAAACTTTCGATGAACTTACACATTTTTTGGTGGTTGAACATTCTCTGTTTTCTAGTTTTCTTTGTTTTTTAATTTTCATCTTTGTGTGCATTAGTGAAGCCAA